TGCTATCATCCTCCTCTCTCCCCATCGTTCGAGACTTTAGTTGGACTGAGAAGTGTGTCACTAATAGTTCAGCAACTGCAAGTAAAACCTGGAGGAACTCACTGTTAACCTGCATACAAACAAATATATTCCAGGTTCCAGCAAGAGAAAATTTAATCTGTAGCCCTCCAGCTGTTCTTAAAAGAATCAGAACTTCACATTGAAAAATGACAGTCAGGGGTATTCCTGCTACAGCCATATGTGACCTGGTAAGACCAGTAGCATATGGTGGCTAATGTTACCGTGTTCAGGCGAAGCCTTTTGGGTAGGATATTAGTCAATATTAGGGAGCTTATTTCACGTTTCGATTCGTCATTCTTCCACCAACCTTGTCGCTATGATTACAATGAGTTTTAGCAAATTTAGACCTCTATCCTTAAAGACCCATGAGTCATCGTTACAGTGCGATTTAGCGTGTTGCCAGATCACCAACCAACCTGAAACGGTACGTAGGTTCCATGACTCACAGAGTTAATAGACGTCAAATTGAGTATGTAGTGCGTTTACTGCACATACTCAACCGCCCCACAATGCATTGCGTCTCTTCTGACTGGTCAATGATTATTTCACCACAAAATTCACTTTTGAGAATTTTTGATTTGATTGTGAATATCTGCAGTTTTACAAAGATTGATGGAGTGGTCAAACTTTTGAAGTTACAGAAGAACCAGCGACGAGATGTTTGAATATACTTCAGTGTGAACAGTCAGCATACTTAATACAGTGCATACATACAATGTTTGGTTTTCCGCTCTGGGCTACTGTAGAAACATGGCAGTTCAACATGGCTCCATTAGACCTGCTCCTTTTGTAAAAACAAAACGACTAATTTTAAGGTAACAAAAACATGATTCTTATTTTCAGGTGATACACTAATGAGAACATACCTATGAATACTATAGTCCATTTCTGCTAATAGATCCTCCTAAATGTACACTGGACCTTTAAAGGAAAAAAAACTTGATGACATCAGTAGGTTTATCTCGAAATTGGCTATTTGGCTCGTGATTCATACTTGGGATCGTCAGTCAGAGTATCTTGGCCTTTGCTGCTTCAGTTTTTATCGTTCTTTGAAATTGCTGAAGTGCCCCTTTAACAACATACTAAACACAAACTGTCTCAGATTCTTGGAAACGTCCTTATGACAGAATTAGGCTATCCCTGCTGTCTTGTTATCTGACTAGTGCCACATTGTTTCCTGTGTGCACTGACATGCCATGACAGGACTCCAGACTGTGTCAAATCTGGCATCAAAGATATCATATACAAGTAAACACAAACCAAAAGACTGAGATTCCCTACACCTGTTGCCTATGAGACCCTCCCCTCTTTTTAATATTTCAATTATGTTTAAAATGAGTAAGAAAAACAGAAAAAAACAGATTTTCCCCCACAGCCTAGCTCACTTAGACACCTCCCTGAACCTTGAACTACAACTTGCCTTGCTGGGAAATTTTCCTGAGGTTTGATATGTCATCGTATATCCCCCAACTAATTATAGAACATTTCCCCTCCTCGCTGCAGGTTCCCCAGCATGTCACATGGTCAAGCAAACTGACCCTGTTGCAAGGTAACTGAAACAGAAACTGGAAAAGTGTCATAAATGTGGGAGGAAATAAAGTGATGATTCAGATGGGTTCAAGCAGGAGGGTCCTGATCCCGTGTGCTCATTTTAGTCTCATCTCAGCTTTCATTGTTGCTATTCAACAGCACTTTCAGACTGTTTTCGTGCATGCATTATCACAGCTCTCCATAGTGGAACAATGACCTTTGTGAAGATTACACATACATGCTATACACAAAACAAAAGAGTACTGTTTGCGTTTCCCTTAAAACAGTCTTCTGTATGCAGGTGTAATTCAAAGCAGTGCCTCTGATGTAATAGGCCAGTTTCAGCAGTTATTCTATTGCGCTTGGACAAATTGGTTTTGACAGTAATCTTGTGCTATTATCTCCCATTACTTGCAGAAGAAATGCAGCGTGTTTGTAGTGCCACCTCTTTGATGTCACACCAAAGCAAATGTCGAGAGAACAAGATGAAAAATAAAATGAGTGCAGGGATTAGGCGACTTGAAAGCACTTAGTAAGATTATCTAGGGATCAAGGTAGACTTTGTGACAGGAAACTGATTACCTTACTGTGTAATGAAGCTCCTTTGTACTGAAAACTCACACAAACATAAATTAATGAATATAGTCTTCATTCAATTTTTCATGCTACATTAAAAAGAGATGCTGATTTCCAGCTTCATGAGGCAGCTGCTTTTTTCTTCTGTGCCAGAATAATGAATTATACTCTTTTTTAAAATTATATTCAGCTCACATTCACAGCATCGACTCACCTGAAGCTGTGTTGTTGTGTTGCTATCTGCACTATAGCCAATATATATGGAGAGTCGCTCCATGACTCACATGAAGTGCTCATAAATAGGCCACTTAAACCAGCTGCTTCCATTAGCCCCAGATAGAGCCTCCATGCCTACATATCCCATGACAGATTCCTCCCAGGGAGCAGCAGTTTGATCCAGTTTGAATAAATGAAAGAGGATAACTGTGGGAAAGATGCACAGCAGGCAGGGAAGCATAAACATGCATTCAGCTACCTGAAACCCACGAAACTAAAGGTCCCCAAGGAGGTTTCTACACTGACAACGTATTTTATTTCATCACATTTATTTTTAAAAAACCTATTTAGTCTCAGTTTTATTAAAATTGCATGAATTGGTCACATTGGTGCAACTGAACTAGCCGTGGACACACTGACATATTATTTATTATGTATTAGAATATATTAAAACTGCTATAATAAATGTGTTAGCAGATACAGAGCAACATTAGCATTCATTTGGAGTCCACCTGACAAAGTCTCCTTTTAGTTCTGTCTTTGGTCTCCACCATTTCCTGAGATAAATATGTGGCTCTTTTTGTAGCAAAACACTCCGCTATGTTCTCCGGCTAACACCGTCTGTCTGCTGTTGGGTGCTGGGCAGGTAGCAGGTAGCACACAGTGTGTTTTAGAGCTTTTCACTGCTTGCATCTGGAAACGGTGCTGATGAGAGCTGTGAGAGAAAACCAAAACAGTAAAGTGGCGGGCCAAAAAAAACCCAAAACAATAAGCTAAAAGATGCTAAAACGGACCATAGAATTGAGGGGAACTGCAGAGTTGGGTGATAATAGTCTAGGAAAAACTCACTCCTGATACTATTTGTTGTTGTTGCAGTGGTTCAGTGAATGTCTTTGACAGTTGTCTGACAAACTGTCATCATGTGTTTGCAGCTGTCTGCTGCTGAGACTCTTTTCACTCTGTTCATAAATGTCTTAACACAGTAGTTTGACACCCACGTCTGTACGGATATTGCTTATGTCAACCATATCTTCATCCACTTGAAGAGGTACCCACTACTGATTGTTATAGATGCTAATAGCAGTTTATCTAGATGGTTGTCAAGAAGGATCTGATTGTCGTGTTACATTATGTAAAGACATCTCATTAGTATTGGTGTGCTATGCTCATGAAAGGGTCCTATAAAATTAATGGGTCAAACTGAATTTTTTGTCCTCATCACATATTCTTGATATTAATTTGGGGAAATTTGAACTCAAGCCCTGAATCGATTTTTTTTATTTTTATTTTTTATTTTGCTAAAATTGAGGTTCATACACAGAAAATGGGACACTGTCCAAAGGCAGTGAAGCACAGACGCCCTGAGACGTCAACAGTGTTAAAAGAAAGAAAAAGAAAAGTTCCTAAAGTCAAAACCTTGATTTCAACATATTTTTGGTTTGTTACTGTTTCCAACATGGCACAGGATTAAATACAAGAGAAGCTGTTTATGTGCTTATTTCAGGGTGTCTTTCAGTGGCAGCTATGTTTGAGATTTTATAGTGATTATAGAATTTACTGCGATTCTAGTAAGGACCATGCACTACTGAGCATACACTGAGAAACCAGCCAGTGATAAATTGCAGCCAGCAAGATTTTCTCTCACTAATTAATAGATAAATCATTAATAATGGAAATTAATGAGGAAATTACTTGAGAACTAAGTTATATATTTGATGTGTTTTGCATTCAAATAAGAAATCAGATGCACTGTTGCTTTCTAAAACAATCCGTTTACCCTATTGTAGTCACAGTCTATATTTAGAAATCAGTCTATCACAAAGAGTAACCTGTAAGAAGTGTCCTGCAATTCATCCTCGGTATGACAGAAATGACCTTTGAAAACACACAAACTGGGTCATGACTGTGGCTCACGCACATTAAAATAGTATGGATGATACATGTTGTAGTGGACACAGTCATTACTCAAATAACGGCTGTTAATATTTAGTGTATGGGGATGTATCATGTGCTGTTTATTACGATGTGAGAAAAGCTATAGTGAATTACTGTGTACTGGACATGCCAACATCAACACACTCCTGCTACGTCATTACACTCTACAGTGAGGCCGAACACACGTAGGACCTGAATTCATAACTGCA